TCGCCAAGGCCAAATTCGTCAGCGGGCTGAAGACCAGCACGTCGACGCCCGGCCGCTCCCGCGCCGTCCGCGCGATGAACTCCGCCGCGCTCAGCGCCGCGGGCTCGTCGGCGAGCGAGCAGGAGGAGTCCGGCGACTCGAACTCGTCCTCGACGTCGCCGAAGCCGTCGAAGCCGTGGATGTACGCGCCGTCGTCCTTCGGCGGCTCCGACTCGCCCAGCGGGAAGGCGGAGCCGACGTAGACGGGCACGCAGGCGCCCGCGGCCCGCAGCAGCCGCCGCGCGTTGCGCGCCGTCTGCCGCACGTCGCCGTGGCAGCCGAAGGACGCGGCGATGCCCAGGATCTCCAGCTCGTCGTGGCGCACGGCCAGCAGCGTCGCCGCGGCGTCGTCGATGCCCACGTCGGCGACGATGATCACCGGGATGCGCTTCTTCGGCTCCGCGGCCGCAATGGCGGCCGCGAGTAGCGGCCAATAGAGGCAGCCCTTCATGACAATCCGAGCTCTTTGCGTACTGCTACTCAACCGAGCGGCACCATTGGGTGAATGAAACCTCATTGAACGCCTCGACTCGCCTGCAAAAGAGCCGGGCTCTCTTGTCCAATCCTGGTGCAACAATTCGACCGCCAACTGGGTCGTGCATTCGCGAGCGGAGAACACAGGTCGGCCGCTTCGCATCTCGTGCCGTTCGCGGTGGCGCGCGAGCGCGGCGCGCCCGAGGCCATGGATCCGTACGGCCAGCAGAATCCCTACGGGGCGCCGCAGCACAACCCCTACGCGCAGCCGCAGCAGCCGAACCCCTACGCGCAGCAGCCGAACCCCTACGGCGCGCCGCCGCCGCCGAACCCCTACGCGCAGCAGCCGAACCCCTACGGCGCGCCGCCGCAGCATCCCTACGGCGCGCCGCCGCCGCCGCAGCCGTTCGGCGGCCAGCCGCCGTTCCAGCCGGGCATGGCGCCGCAGCACCCCTACGCGCCGCCACCGAACCCCTACGCGACGCCGCAGCAGTCGCCCTACGGCGGCGCCCCGCCGGCCTTCTTCCCCGGGGGCGTCGCGCCGCCGCGGCCGCTCTACGCGCCGCCGGGCGCGATGCCGCCGCGGCCGGGCCTCGCGCCGCCGCGGCCGGGCCTCATGCAGCCGCCCTACGCGCCGCAGCTCGTGCCGGCGCCGCCGTCGCCCTACGGGGCCGCCCCGCCCTTCTTCCCCGGCGCCGCGGCGCCGCCGCCGCCGGCCGTCGTAAATCCGTACGCGGACGTCGGCAAGGCGTGGTCCGACCTCGCCGCCTACCAGGACGACCAGGCGACGCTCTGCCCGGGGCGCTCCAACTGCGGCGCGACGGTCTGCGCCTTCGACGACGGCAAGGAGCTCGTCTGGATCGGCCGCGCGGACGGCCGGTTACGGGCTTTGACGACGGATTCGCTGCGGACAGGGCAGCACAAGAGAGCGAAATTCCCAACTTCAAAGGCTCCGATCTCGGCCATTTTCCACTCGTTTCGGCTGATTTTTGGACGAGCGATCATCTCTCGGAACGGTCTCGAAGCGTGGATGTGTTTTTCGTTACGCGCGCGCGCGGAACACTCACGTTGAAGCGACGTTGAATCACTCTTGTGCTGCCCAGGTTGCGGACGTACTGCGCGTGCGTCGCGCACCCCGACGACGCGGCCGTGAAGGCGCTCGCGCCGCTGGACCGCGCCGTCGCGACGGCGTCGGCCAAGTGGGTGCGGCTCCACAGCAAGGGCGGCGTGCTGAAGCTCGAGAAGCCCGCGGCGTTTATATCCGGCGCCAAGGACGACCCGGGGCCGCTCCGGTGCCTCGCGGCCGCGGACGCGACGGTCGCCGTCGGCGGCGCCTTCGGGGCCGTGGCGATCCTGGACGCGGCGCGGGGCTACGACGCGACGCGGCGCTACCACGACGTCGGCGGGTCGACGGGCGCGCTGGCGAGCGGCTCCGGCGCGGCGTTCGGAGGCGCGCACCGGTCCGTCTTTTTGGCTGGTGGTGGTGATGGTGTCCTACGAGTCCTCGACGCGCGCACGAAGGGCGTCGTCGCGACGATGGAGGGCCCGGGCGGCGCCTGCGGCGCGCTCTTCGACGTGAGGTCCGCGGGGAGCACGGCCGTCGCTCTGAGCGTCGGCGGCGCCGGCGGGCCGGAGGGCTTGAAGGCGCTCGACGCCGCGCGGGAGGAGGTGGCGCTGGCCTGGGGCAAGCACGGCGTCGCGGCGCCCTACGACCCCCAGCTGAGCTGCGCGCGGCCGCGCTACGAGCTCCTGGTCAAGGCCTGGGATTTGCGGCTCGGCCACGGCCGGCAGCCGCTGCTGTGCTCGCGGCTCGACGGCGCGCCCTGCGCGCTCGCCCTGGCGCGGCGGTCCGTCGTCGACACGGAGGAGCTGGTGCTGGCCGGGTCGAAGCGGCCGAGCCTGGTCGCGTGCGACGGCCGGGGCGACGCGTCGGACGCGCGCCACCTCGGCCTCGCGTTCCCGGAGCACGGCCGCGCGCCGCTGACGGCGCTGGCCGCGTCGCCGAGCGGCGAACTGCTCTGCGTCTGCGACGCCGCGGGCGGCACGAAATTATTGAGCCTGTCGGAGGCCGCGCGGGCCGGCGACGCGTCCCGCGGCGCCGACACGTCGGCCGTCGTCGTGCCGCCGCCCATGGGCCCGAGCCCCGTCAAGATCGACGCGTCGCCCGACGGGCGGTCCTTCGGCCCCAACGGGGCGTCGTCGCCCGCGGCCTGCATGCTCCTCCTGCCGACGAACGCGCACGAGAGCCTCCGGTGCCCGAAGAACGGCGACGCGTCCAAGGTCCCGAAGCCGATCCCGAACCGCGACACGATATCCGAGAAGTGGTTCGGCGAGGGGGGCGTCTTGGACCGCGCGGGCAAGCTCCACCCGCCCCAGATCATGGCCGAGGACGAGGAGCTGAGCTCGCGGACGTCGCCCTGGAACGCGGCGGCGTTCGCCGCGGCGCTCGAGCCGCGCGGCGGCGACAACTACACGCGGCGGCGCGTCAGCAAGGAGATCACGGAGTCGAAGGAGCTGCGGAAGGACGGCGCGCTGGTGGGCGTGCCGAACAAGTGGGGCTTCAAGCCCAACGGGCTGCTCTACGACGACGAGGCCGCCAAGGTCTGCTTCGACGTCGTCGACCCGCGCGTCGTGCGGTCGAAGAAGGAGCTCCAGGCCCAGGAGCGCCTGGCGGCGGCGGCGGAGCGCGGCGCCGACGTGCCCCACAAGTACGCGAAGCACGTCATCGACGTGAGCCGGCGGGGCGTCGACGGCTTCGACTTTAGCCGCTACAACCGGACGCCGTTCGGCGGTTTAGAGAACGCGCTCGGCGACGCGCGCTTCACGAACGCGGCCCTCCTGCTGCTCTACTTCCTGCCGGAGCTGCGCCAGCTCGTGCTCGCGGACCAGTACGAGCCGACGGCGAAGAACGTGCTGCCGTCCGCGCCGCCGGCCGCGAATTTCGTGCTCGAGCTCAGCTTTTTATTCCAGGTCCTCGACCTCGCGCCGCGGCAGCCGGCGCACAAGCGCGCCTGCCACAGCGCCAACGCCCTGTCGGCGCTGACTTTGGTGCCCGACGCCGTGGCGCTCGGGCTCGTGCAGAAGGCGGGCGCGGCCGCGGAGGCGCCCGCGGGCGAGCGGAAGCGGCGCCCGCTCGCGCGCAAGGCGTTGGTGTTTCACCGCTTCGCCCTCGAGCAGCTCGCGGCGCACCTCGCGGACGGCGCGCGCGTGCAGCGGCTCCTCGGGTTCACGTCGGCGACGGAGAACGCGTTCCTCGACGACGTCGGCGAGGGCCGGACGCGGACGACCTGTGCGCTGACGACGGACCTCTTGCTCGACCGGCCGTTCCACCACGCGCCGACGCCGGCGCTCGCGCGCGGCGGCGACGGTCGCGTCGCCGCCGACGACGACGTCCAGGAGCCCTGGCGCTTCTGCGACGCGCTGCGCGCGTCGCTCGTCCGCGAGACGCGCGCGCGCGCGTGGCGCGAATCCACCAAACGCTACGAGCCCATCGCGCAGCGGCGCACGCCGCGGCCGGATCTGCCGGAGCTCCTGGCCTTCCACTGCGTCGCCGACGCCGACGACGCGACGACGGACGGCGCCTGGGCGAGCGACGGCGGGCCGTGGGTCGCGGCGGCGTTCGATCTTGAAGTCGACGGCGCGGGCCGGTGCCGCGTCTTCGAGGGCGCCGCGGGCTGCGGCGACGCGGAACTAGATGCGGCGACGGTCGACGCCGCGACCTACGAGCTCGTGGGCGTGCTGAGCCACGTCGACCGCGGCGGCGACGCTTTACAGACCGACGCGGACGCGACGGTCGGCGAGATGGAGGCGCTCGAGGGCGTCGTCGCGCACGCGCGGGCCGCGGCGTCCTACTTCACGCGCGCGGCGGAGGAGCAGGCCAAGCCCGCGAGCTTCGCGGCGAAGCTGGCCATCGAGCGCGACCGCCAGTCGTCGCCGTCGCGGCGGGACCGGCCCAAGTCCGTGCTCTCGCCCGACGAGCGCGACCGCCACGAGCTCCGGCGGTCGCGGTCGCCGCCGCGGTCCGCGGCGGCGCCGGCCTGGGTCTTCGTCAACGACTTTTTGTTGGAGACGTCGACGCTGGACGACGCGC